TCATAGCAATGCTAGACTAGTCGGTTATACAACGAAAAATATTGTCTCATCATCACCCTTAACTACAATCGAGCAGAGGCATTACAGTGTATGTTTTCGACATGCTACTGCTGTCATGAGGTCTAGTCATAGCATTGTTTTTGATAAATAGGCTTTCGAAACTACCAGTAGATCATTTTTATATGAATGGGACTAACAGTTAAATTTTCCCACAATAATAATATGATTAGACTTTACGTTTCCTTTAAATTTCACGCAGCATTACTTTCCCAAAAAGTGTTTCCATCCCGGCTGAAGTAGACTCCATTTTCGACCTGGCCTAGGTCTCATCAACATCCCAAGCGGACACATCAAGCATGACAGTGCAACCTGTAATCTAGGCACGTTAACCACTACGCCACATTTCAACGAGTTCCCTTAGGCCACAGGGCAGATGTGAATTTCTAGACAGGCCTGGAATTCTCCCATATCACATTCTGTGGTAGTATTGTGCGTAAAGCAAAGTTGTATTTGCTGTGATAATCGAATACATTATTTATATTTCGTTTATAAGAGGACTATCAGGACTACAGATGGATCATATATATATATACATGAAGTGCATTCATGGCAATGCAATGTTGTGGAAAACGTGTAGAGATTATACGCTGCAGTGTCATGGGTGGGAGGTGTGGATAAAACCTGGGGGAGTTCGAGACTGCAGTCGACTCCAGCCGGGCTGAGAAGACTTTTTAGGAAGGTAAGGTTATGTGAAATTTAATGTGAACGTAAAGTCTAATAATATAATTGTGGGAAAATTTAACAACCGGTCCCCTTAAACGAAATAGGGTTAATACACTTGATATATAACATAGTCGGAAAGTTCACTTTAAGCAACTTGGGTCTGTTTGATGCGGTAGGGTTGAAAGGATTCGTGAATTAGCCTCATTGAAGGAGGATTTTCCAAGACTAATGACTGCTGCTGCTGTGACTCCGATGAATTCGTCTTGGGATTTTATCCATCATTTGGCGGACATCGTCCGAACCAAAAGCCATTAGTTATGAAAAATTAATAAAAAATGCTAAACACTTTACAGCTATCAGAAGGTTCACTCATACCATTGTCGGGAAATTCACTTTAAGTAATCTAAGATGATTAAATTTTCTGTTCCCACCTTTTTAATTCGGCCTAGTGAGTAGAAGCCCACGTGTCTATGAGGTGATCTTTCCTAAAGCAACCTAGTGATAGAAAACTTTCGCTTTTCACACCAAACCTGCGCACATTTCCGAGGAGAATCTGCTTTCCGACACTCGCGTAATTTGCATTTGGTCCGGCCCATTCCGGGCTGTAAATGAAACTAACTGTACCATCTGCCCCATGGCCCCAGACACTCGACAGTCGACCCAGAATCGACTTGCCTGGCTGGGCTTCGTCTGAACACACAAAGACAGAGTTACGCAACTCCACGTCCATACCTGGAGCGACCAGATGAGCCTGAATGCCTGGCATCGACACCTCCAAACCCCCTCAGGATTCTCCGATTTTATCCAATTCCTTTTGCCCATCCCTCCGTCAAAGGGATGGGAGGCGCACATGCAAACTCATAAATTCGCCCTCTTCTGTTGTCACCACCCCTTCGTCATGTCGCATTCTTCCCCGAAATCTGGCCGAAAAATTCTCTTCCTCACCGGCACATTCGTTCGGGAAGGCTATGCAGCACGCCTCTGTCCAGGCGGTCGAGAATAAACGCTCTCTTGCCGACCGGCTAAGCTGTACCAACAGGATTCGTAGGCTCGACCTTTCGACCAAATAATTGGTGATTAGTGAAACCAGAACAAAACTAGCTTCCTCTTATCTCCTTTGCCTCATATACTCATACGATAGCACCAGTGTCTGGCTAGGCCCACTCCTCTCGTTGGTACCATGTTCCTACCGTCTTCACCATATTCTTCTTCCTCGACCTCATCTACTTTATGTATTCTCCATCTAGTTTTTTTCTGGGAAGAATTTGCGCAGTCTGGCAGCTCGGGACAACTCGGAATTTCGGCATGTTATGGCCCGAGAGAGCCCTGGTTAGATCAGATTATCCCTTCACAGCAGAGGTAGACGATCTTGTATGCATACAAGTCACAATTTCACATGCAACCGCTTTAAACAGTAGAACAATGCAGACTCTCACAGTAGGTAACCTCTTAATCAGGCTCATCAATGTGACTAGTATCCAGTGGCTGTTTTTCCAAATTCAATGTTCATTTGGTTTTGATGCTTTCCATCTGAAGAAACTGATGGCAACCTCGAATTTTCCAGAGACATGATTAGACGCTAATCTAAAAAATTTATGATAAAAAAATTGCTTGTAGCACTATTCTGCCATTGGACCCGCAATTTTGTTGTGGCATGCTGGGTTGAACAGAGTCACTCTTGCGTTTGTGTGTGGTGAATTTCCGTAAAACATGGTGCCCTGCTCTGACGATCTCCGTCACATGACAGACGAAAGCTCAGCAGGTAATTAAAACAAAAAAATAGCACAAATATATACACAATTATATATTTAGATATATTAGTGATAATTTGTCTAGTTAGCTTTCCTGTCAATCTAATTATTCTTAAATTTCAGGGTGTAAGAGATCACAAGTTTTAATTCGGAGTAACAGGAAGAGAACAAAAGCATCAGTCAAATATCATGAACTTTTAAAACAAAACGAATACTATAATAACATATGCTCTAGGCTGCCTGGACCCTTTTATGTGGTTGCTTAACACCATTTCCAAACTAAAGTCTTCTCATTTAAAACCAAACTTTCTGGTATTTTATAATCGACATGAAATTGGAAGAATGAATGTAAATATTTGAAAAATTAATGGTTGTATAGATAAAAGTGGTAAGGCTACATCACTCATGCATCCCATCAGGCTACGAAAAGTTGAAGTTAACGAGAATCAGAGAAAGTTGATATTTTTTTACTAATCCAATAATTAGAATACCGGATTTTTCAAGACTCTCTTCTGCAAATTTAAGACTACGCAGGATAGCTCATAAGTTGCTGGAATGTGAAAATTCAGGGTGAA